GAGAACAAAAAATCCGACAAACTTGCGGTTTGTGGTGACTGCGTTTTTAGAAACGGCGCCATAACATATATTTTTTTCATCGAAATTAAGAATTCGACCCTTTTTGCCTGCACGATTTGAGATGAAACCACCCATATATATATATATATATATATATATATATATATACCGGGTGCTTTTTTTATTCTTGCAGATTTGTTTTAAAAAAGCCCTGAAAGCTACACTTCTGCGGTTTGTGCGAGTAAGTTATACGGCCAGGAAGACATTATCTGGGTGGCTTATCTTTGCAGTAAGTCGACTAATTATTAAACTTCATTAGTTTAAAAGTTAAATAGCCAATTTTATTTAATTAGCCGACTCATCGCAAAGATTAGCCAACCACTTAATGTCCCCTGGGCGTATAACTCACTCGCATAAACGGCATAAGTGTAGCTTTCATGGCTTTTTTTTTTTAAAACAAATCTGTAAGAATAAAAAAATACACCCGGTATATATATATATATATATATCTGTATATATATATATATATAAACTCTGATATATGTTTTTAACGCATATATTTTTTTTATTTCATTTAATTTTATTTGTTTAACCCTTAAATGCCCACAGGGGGCTTTACATAAGGGGAGGGGGGCAAATTTAAACACACAAAATAACACAAACAAAAAAAGACTAGGATGTTTATGAACACGTGCAAGCAGGACGCTAATTCGTGACGAGAGAGGAAATGGCATATCGGAAGTCATTGCATTCTGTGATGCTCACAATAGGTTCCGGGAGGTTGTTCCAATCACTAATAGCCAATTGTAAGGGAGAAAATTTGAATAGGTTTGTTCTAGGCGTAGTCAGTTGAATTTTGAGTGGGCAGTCAGTGCGGGGGGAGATGGGGGGGGGGGGGGGGGGGGCGGAGGGCAGTATTTATCTTTTTTTAAAGGAAAATTATAATATATTTTGTGCAGGTGGGTAAGACGTGATACTTTTCTTCTGTGTTTTAAAAGAGGGAGGTTTAATTTTGCTTTCATTGCAGTAACACTTGTAGGCTGATAATTTTGGAGAATGAAACGTGTAGCCCGGTTCTGTACAGTTTCCAATTTTTCTTCCAGGTACAACTGATGGGGGCTCCAAACGATGGATGCATACTCGAGTTGAGGACGGAATAGAGAATTGTATGCGATGAGCTTTGTTTCTTGCGTGGCCTTATATAGATGGCGCTTTAAAAATCCCAAACTTCTGTTTGCTTTCGCACATATGTAGTTTATATGAGGCTCCCATGATAAGTTATGGTTAAAGTTGATGCCAAGATACTTTTAGGGTGTTACGGCTTCGATTGGTATGGTAGAAAGTGAATAGCCAATCTGAGTAATGTTTTTTTTTTTTGTAGTGAAGTTAAGAAATTTTGTTTTGTCAACATTGATCTTTATTTTCCATTCTCGACAGCATGCTTGAATTTGTGACAATTCATTTTGCAAAAGGGTGCAGTCGGTTACACTCACTATTTTTCTATAAATCACGCAGTCGTCCGCATATAATCTAATAGTGAAATTCAGAAGATCTGGCAGGTCGTTTATGTAAATTAGAAACAACAATGAATTCAGCACGGTTCTCTGCGGTACTCCCGTTTTAACAAGTTTTTGTGACGAACAATTGTTGTCTATAACGACGTTATGTGTTCTGTTTGAAAGGAAACAGTTATGGCCTTAAAAAAGCCCGAAGAAATAAAGGTAGAGCCAAACTTGACCTTCGTTGTCCAGAGTATGAACATGTTGACCTTAATTCGCCAAACAAGTGCCAAAGCTAGGCTTCGCTGTGGGTACTTCGACTGTCATCGGGCATCTTGTGGCTTAAATCGCCGGTGAAGTTCCAGAGTCAAGCCTTAGTTCTGGTCGTTCGGTTTTCACGTCCCAACTTTTGATCGAAATTTCCAAACAAGTTCCAGATTTAGGACTTACCGCTCATTCTTCGGTTCATTCGCCGTATATTTGGCTCAAGTCCAGCACTTCGGCAATTATGTGGCGAGTCATAGAAAGGCATAGAAACGCCCCCCTCCCCCCCCCCCCCCCCTGCAAAAAAAAAAAAGTACTTTGGCACTAGCAACCGCGTTTTAGCAAAGCCTTATTAGGCCCAAGTTAAGCCCCTAGGATTGGCAAGCTCGGGCCAAGTCAGCGGTTTCTCTGATGTTGCTACCATGACAATCAGCCCGTATGACTTCCACTCGCCTTTTGAAAGCAGCGCCACCTACAGGTATTCCTCGGGTCTCGAGAAACTCCGCTCCGCAGACATCGGCGGATTTGGCCGAAAGTCAGCTTGTAGCGCACACCCTGCTTTTTGAACATAGTGACAGTTGCGCACACAGGTACAAGGACAGGGACAAGGACTCGCCCAACTGTCTACTTTACCCTGCTTTTGGATCCCTTAAGCACGACGCAAGGCACACTGCGAGTATAATCCGCAGTATTTATTGTTTATGTTATGTCTCGTGTGTTGCGGCATGAATCACACGAAGCGCCGGTGTGTATTGTAGTTTAGAGATTATTACGGTGCGCCAGTCACCAATAGAATCTATTGCAAGAATTTACGAGAGGTGTTTTTCTGTAGTTTGTCATTTTTCAGGTTCGCCTTTGCTCCCTGGTAAAGCGTCTAGGCCTAACCGTGGAAGAGGAAGACGCTCGTGCTTTTACAGCTCTCGCTGTTTTTAACCAGCGTATTCAGTTGTTATGTGCTTCCACAACAGGAATATTTAGTGCAAGTTACTAGCACAACAGTTTGGTGTAGCGTGGTGCAAGACCGAGCTAAGAGTTCTTAAAAACTCCGACCGTTGGGTCTGGTTTTTGTTTTGATCAGGATAATAAATATCAATCAACACCGAAAAGATTACTTTTACCTGATTTGTAATCGTTTCATTTTTTTAACTCTTATGAGGTTTCCAAAAGTATTTAGGTGTTCTAAAACATGACCATGACTGATAGCACAATAAAGAAAGAAAAAAATTGAATACACAAAGAGGCAAAAAGCACTTGAAAATTGAATGTGCACTTCACACACACACGCATATCTTTCAAAACATATTTACACTGTGAAACGTGCTCAACAAGACCTTTTTTCAGCTGTTTTGCATTTTTAGCAACATAGAAAACAACAACTTAATTGAAAACTTATATAAGATGCTGCGTGACATCTTGAAATTTATAAAAAGGATGACTTATCATTGAAGCAGAAAATGTACTTGACTCATCATTGAGGCACAAAGATAATTGGGCGCATTATTAAAGCACACAAAGGTTCTCAACAGTAAAACAAAAAAATATAATCAAAATTATAAAATCAAAACACTCAATTCAGGCACCAAAGCAATAGGCACGTTTAGAGAAAACATTTATAAACCCCAACAAAAAAATTTAATTTGTGCTACGCGAAGGCTATATTTCTTTTAATATGCATGCGATTTACGTTTATTTTGCACGTATAAATGATTACGGAAATACGCCATGGTCGTCTAAAATGTTTGGAAGTGCAAGCCGGGTAGTTTAAATACTGTTTCCTATAATTGCTTCTTATATTTGTTGTCTTTTGTTTGATATTTCATAATTGATAGCGTTGAGTGTGGTCTTCATTCATATGATAATGCTTTTGTTTGTTAAATGATTGCATACGTTTGAGGCAATAAATCTGTTTTGCTTTAAGCATTTTGTGCTCTTTAATGTACAGACTACTGTGAAAATCGTGAAAATTTCAAACAATCATAATATTTGAGAATGCACCACGTTTTCGAGTATTAGAAATACATTATATTCGATCATTTTTGTCATCGATACTGAAACACTTTATATAAAACGCATCAATGCGACCGTACCTTTGGGGCACTGGTAACTTCAGGGCACAACGATACTTCTCACGCTCCTCAATTTGGTTTTATTTGCTTACTTTGTAGTGTTTGATGCACCTCGAAACATGTATAATTTAAATGATAAGTATATTTCACTAATTACAAAGTTAATTAACAAACTTCATTTAATTATAAAGTTCAATATGATGTTTAGCCCAGTGGTCGTAGGTTCACCTGCACAGACAAGACTTCTATAATTGTCACGGCTTTTTTTAATGACATTTGTACGTGCTAGAAAGAAACGCCCTGTATAAATTTGTCTAAAGCCAACTCGGTAAAACATTTAATATTTTAGGATGTAACCAACTTATTTCAATAAATAAATTCAAACTTTAGCCACGTGAGCTTTCCGAGTGCGAAAGAGTTTAATAAAATCCTGTTTTCACGCAATGGCCCAATACAGCGAAGGCATCGAGGAATAAGCCAGGAGCACCGCCGATTTGGTTTTTCCTTGGCACAAAATGCGAAGCTGATCCTCTTTTTTTTTATAAAAGGTCCAGCGGTTCACTCGAGTGGCAGTTACCAGATATCAGGCTTTGCAGCGTAAAGCAGGGTTAATATTGACTTGTTAGTAACACATGCGTGGAAGCTGCATTCATTTAGCTACATCTCTAACGTTGAAATTCTTTAGGCTGTAGAGAGTAATTTATTTTTCAATTTGCGCACCAACAATGTGCGAAAGTACTGCTCTTCAGCGTCAGAAGTCAGCGCAGTTAATTTATTTGCGTCATGCCGTTCTAACATTGTGTATCAATTTAGTACTTTTCCACAGCAAACCATATCCTCGTCACACTGACTACGCTATTTCCACATGCTGATTTGCGAAGAAGCTATTGTAAGGACCTCTAGCACATTCATTTTAGCTAAACATCAAAATGGAATCCACGTGACGTCGATTTCACTTGATTAGCAAATAGACATTATTTTATTTCATTTTATTTTTTATAACATAGGAATAGCAAGTCTTTCTTAAGCACCTGTCGCATCTGCGGTTATTCAAAGGGGTTTGTTCTTATGTCCAACTGTGGGTACTTTTTCATTTTTTTTTAAAAAGCTTTATGGCGTATAAAAAGAGCTTGACGAGTTGTGTGCTCAGTGTATCTTGTCCACAGGCACCATGATCGTGACTGGAATCTTTCTTCTGTTTGTCGCAGTGCCATTGGTATGCGTTGCGGAGGGTAAATACCATATTTGGACTCTTTATTTGTTTAATATTAAGACAAATGTATACGCGTGTCACCTTGTCCATTCACCTGAGCGGCGACCTTAAGCTAACGTCATCAAAATCATCATTGCGGTAGGCTTTAATCGACAGAATAGTAACAGTGAATATATTCATATTACAAATGGTTGCATAAGCTTCTCTGGGAACTCTTCAAAATATAAAATGATGATTATGCCCACGCGCGCTGAGATATTTTTTTCGCAATTAAAATTATTAAAGAAAACACCAAAGAGTGCAGACCGCTCCAAAAGCGCACTCTGACCGCAGTCATGTGGGATCCCTGCGCCGAGGATCTAGTCATTAGTTTTACGGCCGTTCTTTCCTAACTTCCATAGGCTTTATTTCGGCTTCGTAGCTCTCCAGTTTGGAAACATTGAAATCGTTAACAATACTGGCTTCAACTTGAACATGTGCACAAGTATGAGTACCTTTTTGAAGCCCGACTCCTCTCAGTACTGCTACATAAAGATTTATACGTCCAACAAAAGCTATCTCTCAATAAATTACGACCTACTGCAAGGTTTCTATTGGCATTTAAGAGCGTGAATGTGCTGTTGATTTAATTTTTAACGTAAATTTTTTTGGCTAGGTGTTCGGCACTGCGTGAAGCCCAGATAAAAGCGTGGTCACGAGATTCGACACTGATTGGTTTACAGGTGGGAGAGGAGGAGTGATATGCTGGGCGCCGAATGGTTTAAAGGGAGGTCATGTGACCAGAGATGTACGCGAGGAGGTAGGCGAAGAGGAGTTCGGCCACCTGTGCGCACTGAGGGAGAGGAGCTCTAGAGCAAAAAAGGCTCTGGAAAATCGAAAGATTTATTAGCCCGATTAGCGATGGGCCACGGATGAAGGCGGCGTGAGACAAGGCGACGGCTTTGTCTGCTCACACCCATGAGACAGTCTGCCCTGCCGTCAATCATGTCTGGTCAAGGTAGATCTTCCGAGCATCTTGTCGGTGTAGTGGGATCTCATGCAGGCACCTCTGCTTCATGGCGATGATGTCCTCTCGTTCAATCAGCCGCGAGTTTTGTTTCCTCTTGTCATGCTCGAATCCGATGTCGTGGAGAAGGCGACGCACAACCCAAGCCTTCAACGAAGGGAGTTCAGTGCTCGTGCAGAATTCGGCCCTTATCTTTTATCCGTGGGAACCTATAGTTCTATCGAAAAAAACGGTAGACGCAGCATCTCAGCGACCAAAACGTGAAGTCACCGTAGTTGATTTTCAGCTGCCTCCCGCCTTCACTTTTTCGGTGCTTCCAAGATGGTGTTACACATTATCACTCGGTTGCTTTCGCCTCCGTCCTGATCTCAAGGATGGTCCGTACACCAACGCCAAACAGTTTGCTGAGTTCGATGCGGGACTCCTTCACAGTAAAACCGGGCTGACCGGGCTTGGCAGGAGGTTCGCGTGGCACTTGAACGTATGCGTTCATTATAGAGTCACACGACAGGCCGAATCGTGCTTTTCGACCGCGGACCGTGTACCACGTGGCCGTCATGTCACCGATTCCTCCAATCCGCACCTCGTCTGAGGACCTACGAACTGATAAAGTCGAGCGTCTTCTTCACTTGCGAATATTTGGCGAGAGATTTACTTGAAAAATGTTTAGTCTGGCAATGGTGCAATGTTTTCTTGATTTTCTTTTTCTTTTCTTCCGGACGATTAAAACAAATATTGCGCATCGTTTTGTTTTGTGCGCTCACTAATTCATTTTGTCCCGCGATTCTTGGTTCCACGCGTGAAAGAAACTGCCGAAATTTTGTCCGGCTGACGTGACGCAGGTTCCGGTACTCCTCCGGGTCCGTGTCGAAAGGCTCCCGTCAAAACTTGTCTAGCACGCCGCGACGATTCTTGCACGTCGGATCAGGCTTTCACTGAGCAAGGCCTTTCTTGTCACTGGGGTGTACTTGAGTGTTGTGCACGAGCGCGGACTGCATGAAAGCACCTCCAAACGGCCTCCGCGAAACCAGAACTTCGTCGCTTCTACGCCGAAGCCTTCTCGAACAAGGCCATGCCTGCGTCACTGTCATGCCTTGGGTTAGTAAAGCTAATAGCGCTTCGCGCGAAGCCTATCACGGTGTTTTGTCTCGATCTGTACGTAACAGTGGCTTACGATTCTTGATCATGATAGAAAACGTCGATTTCTCTCTTGAACAGCGGTGCCACGGTGCGATGTTGGAGCTTCGCGGCACTGTGGGGTGGCGCAGAGGTTCCTTCCGCCCTCGCTGGCGTCTGCTCTTCGTCTCCCTCGTGTCGATGCGCTTGGGAGACGGACGAACCGCGGACATGTCGTCACCTGATCAGTCTGTCCGCGGATCAGTCCGTCGTGTGAATCGGCCTTTATCAGCCGCCGTGCAATTCGGTTGAGGACATTGCCGCTCTTACGTTTCCTGCGGAGGGGATGGTGGAGGCGGCGAGGCAGCACCAGACTTTCTTGACAAAGAAGAATCAGAGAAATCGGATTCCGCTTCCTCCACCTTGGGACTTATAATGAAAACAAATGCCACCTTCGGATTTGTCGAAACCCGAAACGCAGGGTTTTAGTTTTCTCCGTTTTCCCTGTTTAACAAACGCAGCGAATGTACCTAATTCGTGCAGGAAGGTTATCAAGCAAAAACCAACAACCATATATGCATTTCTTACAAAAAGTTACAATTTATATTTATTTGCAGAGGAAACGATGCGTTATTTTCGCCTCTTATTTCATATAATTGCACTACTGCTCAAACTCAGGACTGGAATAAACAGAAATTTTTATCTCTTTAGTAACAAAATATTTTTGTTGCCGCTAAAGCCTTCATTTTAGTTCAACTTTCCATAGCGATAATGTCGGAGCCTAAAACACATTATTTGTCTCGGATAGGTGGCTCACGCTGCCGCCTGCTCCAAACTCTGTGGCCAATATTTATCCATTTTAGGAGGAAAAGTTGTGTTTTCAGCGAACTATTTTCTAATGCGGAGGGGTTTGAAGCGGGCGCATCGTGCTTGTGGGAGGAGCTTCTACTACCTCCTTAACTTGTAACCGATTAGAGAAGTGACATAAACATTGTGATGGCATCAGAGTCTTGTGAACCATATTGACGAATCATGAGCCTCCTAACGTCGGTACAGACCTGAGCGCACCGGCCATAACGGCCCCTAACGTGATTTCCGTTCAGGACTTTTGTCAGGGATAACCGCGACGGGATGCATACTAGCGTACTTTTAGAGCGCAGCTCTTAGGGGCCCGTTCCCGGCTTGAGCGGCGTCGGCGTCGGCGTAACCAAGGTCACCCCAAGGTCACGTGACCCCTCAAGGTCATCCCAAGGTCACCGCACGGCCACGTGACCACCAAGGTCATCCCAAGGTCACCCTAAGGTCACGTGAACCCCAGAGGTCACGTGACCCCCAAGATCACGTGACACTCAAAGTCACGTGACCCCTCCTGAGGTCACGTGAGCCCCCGATGATGTCACTGTCATCCGCATCGTCACTGATGACGTCATCGGTATCCGCATCGTTTTCGTCACTGATGACGTCATCGGCATCGTCACGTGACCCCCCAAGGTCACGTGACCCACCCCCCAGTACCCTTCCCTCCTCCTCCTCAAGAGCTGCCCTCAAATTCGGCGTTACAGGGAGTTGTAAACGGTTACAATTAAAAACGAGCGTGTTGGTTAATAGATACAAAACTTGAAAGTATAAAACAGAGAGGACGAGGACGGGAACAGGACATCTTTCAGGCCATGAAAGATGTCCTGTTCCCGTCCTCGTCCTCTCTGTTTTATACTTTCAAGTTTTGTTATAAACGGCTTTCACTTTTTTTTTTTAAACTGTTGAATGCATTGTATAGCTATGGGTGCTTTCGAGGGAATACTTTTGGAGAAGCAGTTAGCAAAAAGAATCAATAAACAAAAATCACGATGAGAGTTTTTTTTTTGTTTCAGAAAATACAGAAACTATGCCTCCTGGTTGCGTGCAAGTCTCGGTCGAGAGTTTCAAACACGTCAGTTGTGAGGCCACCTTATCAACAGCTTTAGGATCTCTTTGCAGCTTTATATTTTCCAAGGAAATTCCAGGGGGAAAATGGCTTGGATATGTAAGTATGGTTCTATGTTGAAGTGGTGTTTAATTCATTCCCTCTTCCATTGTGTCATAGGACTGCACTTGGAATTTCCTATATAAAACGAATACAAACTCGAATGATCACTGAACTAATTTCCATTTGAGCTTGCTATTATTCCAGGCAGGTTCAGGAAACTATACCTGCAAAGTGTGCTGCGCAAACCAGAATGGAAATACGCAACATTATAGGGTGACCAACGCTCCGAGCACCTTTCCCTGTGGAGACGGCAAGGTAAACGTTTTTTTATCTTTTTATGCACGTGTTGTTTTTTTTAATCTCACTTTGAATTCGCTTTAAAAAAGACGTAAACATAATCGAAAGCAGCCACGTAATTAATATTATTATTAATCAACGTCACAAAAATGATTTTATATCTTTACTGTTTTATTTTTACACAAGCATATTTCGGTCACGCTAAAAGTTTTGTTTTCTGGGGATTTCCTTTAATATAAATTAATGTAAGTTTTTTTTCAGCCGAGGTACAACATAAATGCTCAAATGGCTTTGTGTTTTTTACAGTGTTGTAAATTTGCTTCAGATTACTTTTTTAACGAACGCGTACCAAATATATATACTAAAGACAAGAATTTCAGGATCTTTGGAAGCACTTATAATTATTTCCAAAGCCCTCTCACACTTCAGCTTTCTTCTTGGTTGTACAGAAAATATAACGCAGTGGTTCACCTATAAAAATACGTCACAAAATAATGTGTAGAAACACCATCCGCGACCACTCGGTCGCGGATGGTGTTTCATGGCATATAGATGCCGCTTTAATTATCATTTGCGTTTTTTGGTATATCTCCTAAAATAAAAAAAATAGTTCATTATACGGATATGAGGAATAAAACCTTGAAATAACATTTATCATGAGCTTTAATAATGTTTTTTTTAACTTATTCGGGGAAATACGGTAATTATTTGTTAATCCGTAAAAATGTTGATAAGAATAGCAATATGAACAAACGTAACGAGCTCAAGCAAATTTATACTGCCTAAAAAAATATATTCTCTGTTTCAGACATGCTCGAAAGGAAGATGCCCTAAGTAACTCCAACCACGCACGAAAGTTTGGTTCCACCCTGTGCAGCTGTTTTAATAAACTGTGTATTCTAAACTCAAACCAGTTCAATGCGTAGTATATATATTTACTTATTCATTGTTAATTGAACTTACTGAAAAGCGGGTAATTTTTTCGTCGTTACTGATGACTGCCACAGTGTGAAATTAAGCAATTGAAATTTGGCCACCTTCTTCTCACCAAGCCTAGGTGCATATAAAAATTGGCACAGAACCTTGATTTGATTAGTATATTATAGCAATGGCCGAAGCCTTTAATTATGATTATGTATTCTACCGCTGAGATAAAAACGTTCTTGGCGATACAAATTTATTCCTATTTCACGACAGCTGGTAACGTTTAGAGGCCAAGTTTGTTTGTACTAATTTTGAACCAGGCTGGTGTTTGCTTTTCTTGGTGTTTCTTTCAATTTCAAATTTGTCTCTTCTGGTTTCTTTATAGACGATAGACGGTGATTTCAGATAAGATCAAACGACCGGTGGCTGGTCGATATTTTAGTTCACTAGATATTCTTATGAAATTGCATAACGTATAGCCTAAACGAATCCGTTCATATTTTTTCCCAGAAAAAACAATCTGATAACACAAAAACCCACGGATTATGAAGAGGGGGACGTTCCCACTTACGTGCACTGCCGGAGTGATTAATAACAAAAAATATGTTTATAAGTTGGACTTCCTCCGAAAAGCGTTTGGTGCGGGGTGGTATGGTGGTACATTGATGCCCCGGATCTGATTTCTTCTGAGGGACTCCAGGAAATTCGCACGCGTGAGAGGTGTTCCGTTGTCAGATAAAAAAATGTGTGGTATTCTATCAGTTCAAAAAATGGTCCTTAAGCAGTTTATAGTTGCTTCTGAAGATTGAAAAGACACATGCATGACTTCAACCCACGTGGAGAAAGCGTCCACGACAACCGAGAAGTAATGACCTTGGAAAGGTCCACCAAAATCAATGCACAGTCTTGACCGCGGTTTCTCTGGAAAGGGCCAAGGTGTTGACTGCACTGGTCGACGGAAGTGCTGCTGTTCCTGACAAATCGCACATGACTTCACCTTGTTTGAGATGTCTTCATCTATGTTAGGCCACCGTACGTGACTTCGAACAATAGTTTTCATATTTTGAATGCCCGGGTGACTTTCGTGAATGAGCTTCAGGACTTCCTGTTGAAGAGACACGGGAATCACAACTCTCGTTCGCCAGAGCACGTAGTCTTTTTGTAGGCTGAGCTCGTGCTCTCGAACTTCGGAAGGCATCCATTCGACCTCCCGAGGAAGGATGCCATCTTCCAACAAGATGTCACGAAGCCTCGACCACAGAGGATCCCTTTTTGAAGCCTGAGCTACTACGGCTATCCTTCCAACATTAAAGGGGCCCTCCGGAGCTTTCTGCGATCGTCTGTTTATGTTGTTATATTGCGTAGTAGGTGCATGTTAATATGTATACAAAGTTTTAGATTACAAAACCGTTTATTAAGCAGATGGCAGTAGAAATATATCGGGACTATTTTCTCTTGGAAGACGATCCCCCATTCCCTGCCCATCGCTAAAACTTGACCAATGGAAATGCTGCATCTCGCGGTGAATGCGAACGTTATTATTGCAACACTTTTTAAGCTTGTTGTAAATTATTGTTTGAGAAAAACGCAAACTGATTGTGGTGCGGGAAACATAGTCCGCAATTATCGCTCCAAAACCAGCGAACTATGTTTTCTCCCCGCAAGCTTGTTGCTAGGGGGTGATACGTCGGCGCGTCGGCTCGTCTGTTTCCCGGGGCGTGTGCAGGCGTGCGTTTGCGGGACACGTGTTCCTTCTTCCCGTAGATCCCGACTCTGAAGCCAGCTTTGCGATCCTTCACGTCAACGAGTCAAACTTTTCCTTGTCATCTGTGTAATGCGACAGCGTATTGCAGTAGCAGCGCGTAGGTGCGGTGCGACGAACGACGACTGCCGAGTACAAAGTCCGGAGAGATTCCTCCGCGGGTCGGCGGTCGGCCGCGGTGGTGACGCGCAGTGACGCCGGCATCCTTCGCTTGCTATTGGCTGACGCGTAAAGAGATGCCCCTCGCTTTTTCCGGGGTCATCTCAGAAACGGGGGCGTGCCGGGGACTTTGATAGCAATTTTAATAGGGAAATTCGCCGCGCATGACCGTAATTTTATGATTTTTAGGATCCTTAGGGCCTGTAGATCGAGTTACCGCCATAAATAGACCATCGCAGAACGCTCCGGGGGGCCCTTTTAAGATGTCGGCTGGCGGCTCCACGGTGATGCGCTTGCTCTTTAATGGGAACCTGCTAGACAATTTGCGTGTCCAATTGTCTTGCCGACGCGGCAGACTAAGGCGTATTCGTACGCAGAAAACAAGAGGTCCCAACGCACCACTCTTGGAGAGCTTCGCTCTGGGATGGCCTTGTTTGGAATAATAAGCCCAAGCAGCGGCCTATGGCCTTTAACTGCTTCAAAATGCCTTCTTCAGAGGTATTGACGGAACTTAGTTACGCCGAAGATTAAGGCCAAAGCATCTCAGTCCAGTTGGCAGTAATTCTTTTTGGCCGGCTGTAGGCTCCTGGAGGCGAACGCGAAGGGGCGTTGCACACCTTGGGCATTGCGGTGGGCCAGAACAGCTACAAGACCAAGTGGGGACACGTCACAAGTAAGTGTAAGGTCCCCCTTTAAATTAGGGTGTAGCGGACCTACACGCTGGCCAAAGTCAGAAGTTTTTTTGTTTCAGTGAACGAAGTTTCTTGTTCATCTTTTTCCAGCACCATGGTGTGCCAGTTGCCGGTGGATGATGCAATGGATGTAGAACAGAATATAGGCTCGGAATAAACTTCTTGTAGTAGTTAACAAAGCCGAGGAAACTCTGTAGTTCCTTGACGTTGCGTGATGCAGGAGCCTTGAGGACTGCTTCGACTTTGCCTGGTGCAGGGTGCAGCACATCTGCGTCAATGACGTGGCCCAAGTACTCGACAGCGTTCATCATGATTTCGCACTTGGTCAATTTCAGCTTGATTCCTCTGTCTAACATTCGCTGGAATGCCTTGGCGAGGTTGTTGAGTTGGCCCTTGTCATCCATTCCCGTCACCAGAATGTCATCGAAATAGACGACGACATGGTTGAGAGCTTGGATGGGGGTTTCTATCTTCATCTAGAAGATTGATGGGGCCAAAGAAATTCCAAATGGTAACTTCTTGTGCTCAAAACGTCCTTTGGGAGTGTTGATTGTGGTGTATTTCCGTGAAGTTGGATCGATGATCAATTGCTAGTAGGCGTCCTTCAGGTCAAGCTTGGTGAATTTGATGCCACTTGAGAGCTTCGCCAACAACACCTCGACTCTTGGAATTGGATACTGTTCCAGGACTGCAGCAGGAGTTACAGTCACTGTAATCTCCGCTTATGCGAATGCGACCGTCTTTCTTCATGACTAGGACGATTGGTGCCGCCCCGTCAGAAGACTTCAAGGGTTCAAGAATGCCCTCTTCCTCTAATCTCTGGAGTTCTTCCAATACTTTGTCCAGCAAGGCCAATGGGACACTTGGTGCTTCGAAAAACCGTGGTTTGGTGCCTTCATGAACTGAAAGTTTCACCAAAATTCCTTGGAATGTCCCTGGCTCGCCAGAAAAGAGAGCGGTGTGCTCATCTATGAGCTTTCGAACAGTGTTGACGAAGTAGACATCTGAAACGTTAGTCATGTTGAACGCTTTCATCCAATCACGTCCCAGCAGCGTAGGAGCATCGCCTTTAGCGACCACTACTGGGAACTCGAAGTGGTGGTCCCTGAATTTCGCAGTCACGGTGACTTTCCCGACCACAGGCTTGAAGTCTCCGGTGTAACTTCTCAGACGGACCTCTGAAGGCTCGCAGGGAAGGTTAGGAAATTTCTAGTGGAGTGTAGTCTCTACTATGATAGAGACACTTGCCCCGATATCAAGCTCAATTTTTATTGGCTTGCCTTTAAGCTCCAGCTCAACCCCGAATGGATTGAGCTTTATAGGAGAGTCCAACTTCCATATGCTGTAGATTTCCCCGTCGTTTGACGAAACCTCTTCGCGCCCTGGATGTTCAACGACGTGTACTGGAGTTGGCTTGCTTAAGCCACTTTTTTGGTGTCCCTTCTGCTTTGTTTCAGACGCACGTTGGCTAGAGCTTGCGCTTTTCGTTCTGCAGACCTTGGCAATGTGTCTATTTACTTGCAATGGTTGCAGATGTCCCGGATGTGCGGGCACTCCGTTGCAAAGTGACAGTCGCCACAACGATATCAGCTCACGTGTTTCTTTTGAGGAACCTAAACAGCGTTGATACTTGCTGATGAAGATGCCGCGGCTTCGCCTAGCTCGGTTACCTCACGCTTTGCATATTCCATAGCTTGTGCGAGCGTAACCACGGACTCCAACGTCGGATTGTGCTCTTCAAGCAGACGAGTTTGTATTTGTTTGTCGCAAAAGGGACGGTGCAACGCCAATTAACTGCGGAAATTAATCTGTGTCACCCATGGAACGAAGATCAGAAAACCGTATTTTCTTGCGAGCAATATTTTTTATATAAAAAAATGAAAAAAATAATTGAAAGTCAAAGTGCCTCTTAACTCTCCACGTCGCCTTTCGAGTGACGTACTCTGGGGGATCACGTGGTTTCCCCTCGGGTTCTCTTTTTAAAGACCACAGCCGCTTCCTCCACGATTATCGTCTTTTAAAGGATTAGCATCTTCGAAAATCGCGGAGAGCGTTCGACACAAAAGACGGTTCGATACGGGGGCGACGGCAACTGTATCAGCGGAGGGGGACAGTTTTTGTTCACTTCCGCGTATCCCCCAGAGTACGTCACACATCAGTTCCATTAATCACCACAAGCAGCTGCAGATCGGCAAATATCTCGTTTTCTTCGTTGTGACTACGCACCTAAGTAGCAGTTTTTCGGGCAAGGTGACGCGTATTTGGTCACTTGTGCTTGAATAAACAATATAAAACATACAA